TAGGTCGGTCCATATATTTTGTTATGCATGCTTGGGCTTGTTATACAGTGGTAGTGTTCCATCCATTACCATGACAAACAAAATGTGCTACACAACAATTGAGTATAATGTAAGTCCGAACACACACACATATCTGGGCTTAGCGTGTTACACCATCTACCTATTAGGAGTTGTCAGTCTCTTGCTCAATTTCAGCACTACACGACAGTGATTCATAAAGAACGCGGAGTCTCAGTTCTCAACCAATCAATGAACCAGTGACAACCATCATGTTNTTCTCAGCTGTTGCAAAGTTTGCCTCAGCTAGCCTAGTGCTCTAAAGCATACGATTTCAAATGAATCGACCGTTGTCGACCTGAGATGTCTAGTCATCAGTCTATTCCTCCAACTTCGGTGTGCCACTCTTGTATCCGATTTTCGGTCGAATATCAGTCTTTGAATAACAGTTCTTTTGCCTACTTGCGAATGTTAATAATAGGTAATAAACTGTAGGCATAATTATCACTTTGCATTTTCCCTTTAGCTCTAATACTAAAAGAAAGCAACTCAGTAATTATTGTCTGTTCTTACTAAAGTCGCCGGTTTATCCCTATATATAAACTAGTTGATTATAACAAACCACATTGGGGATTCGGCATCGTCGGGAAAAATAATGACCATGAAGCGAGACTAACGAGATTGTCACGCCAAATCGACAAGACCCTTCAAATAGAGATGTCATATTACGAAAAGGGTTACCAAAGTTTTCTTCAGGCTATTCCTGGACTGGTGCAGCTCTCCTTACCACCCAGTGGCCAACTAGCTGATATGCCTTCTGGAACCAGTGTCAGTGGGGTCTCCACTGGGGCCCCTTGCACGCTGGTGTTTTCGTGTCGCAAATAAAAAACGGCCCGTTTGAAACGTAAACCACTACATCTGATTTGAAACAGCATTGCATGGATTGAATCTGAGCGTTGTCTATTCAAAAACAAACTTTAAACATCTCGATCATTTCAGTACTGCACATCGATACATCGAAACAACTGCGCGTTACCCACTAGCATATATGATTATTTTCCCAACTTCTCTTGATGACGGACTGATCACACAATCAGCACACAAAAGTCGAGATAGAATGAATGGTATACTTTTTATAGGTTTGTACCACTCAGTGTAACGAAAATCCCATAAACCCCATCTGGTCAACTGTGCTTAAATAATCTACATAAAGGACATTGTGGTTGATGATGAGCTCCGTAATGTGCGAATGTTTTCACACAAAATACGTATTCGAAACGCTCGGTGGATTCTGTTATACAAACAAAGGATGAGTTGCCCAAGAAGATGCAAGTTGTGAAAAGGTTTACATAGCTTTCAGCTATTCAAAGGTGACAGTT